GGACCAATTACACTAAGACTTTCTGCTTTATCGCATATATTGAGTACTGACATGAAAGAAACACAGTTTAGGAGAAATCCGTGTATGTAACCATCTTACAATTCTCCAGTTGCTGGACTACAGTGGAGTCTGCATTGACTGTGTGAACTTGAGCAGTAAATCGTTGTAAACCTGCCTGTCAGTAGACTACTGCAGCTCAGTGTTGTTTCACTGACTGCCTTTCTAGCCTCTTGTTCTTTTCACAGGTCAGTTCTGGAGACATTAAAGAAGTATTTCTGTGGGCTAGGCTTGGTGACTGGGCTGTGTAATAGGGGTAAATTGAAAAGATAATAACAATTGGCTGAACAGCCCAGATTTCTGAGGCTACTAAATGTGATTGACGTTCAGGATTATTACAAGGATATATGAGGAAATTTGGATGTATATTCTGGTGTTGGCAGTGTGCACTTTTCCTATGTTTTGCCATCAGTCAGCATAAAATGATGCTAGAACATGGTAGCTAAGATGTCAGAGCAAACAGCTGCGAGATAGAACCATCAGTTATCTATTAAAAGAAAAATGTCACATTCTGCAGACCAGAAAATCGGAAAGGATTGCTATGAGAAGTATCTTAAAAATATATCCCACAGCATTAGTTTCTGGAAATATTTCTATTCAGTGACACTCTACATAGAAAAGTCAAAGCAGAAAGCAGCTCTGCACTTTACCCTTTCCAGCCTCTCATTTAATCACTGATATGAAAATACAGAAATACATATTTTATTAATTTTCTTCCAGTTGGATATAGTGTCTCTGTTTCGATGGCAATTGGGCTTTTTTCTGCCTGGAAATTTATTTAATATTTCTACCTTCTGTCAGGAAGAAAGTGGGATGCTTCTTCAAATTCTAAATTCCTTTGACAATTCTCCACATACACGTACATAGGTCTGATTTTTCTTGAAAGGTTAATAGTTCTGCTGAGGAGACTTGGTTTGGTAGTGACTCAGTGAGACACATGCTGCCTACTGAGTCACCATCACTGCTTTGTGGGACAGCAGCTGGATTTGTTTTGGGTGGGGGATTTCCAAGGACTGACCTAGCCCAAGCTTCATGAGGTTCTGAGGCTTGATAGGATCACAGCCCAGAGCGCTGAACCCGCAGGGCAGATTTGTATCCTTTCTCCTTAATAATGTGCTCGGGTGGGGTGACGGGAGAACAAGCCGTTCTTGCAATGAGTAATTGGATGTTTTACAATCAATACCTTAATTTATGTAATACCTGTAATCATATTTTGAAGTGTATATACATTTACTAGTGGTTTAGGGAATAGATCATGCCTGTTCTGAACACAAGATCAAAGAGAATTTTTAAAACTCCATCTGACAACACCAAACATAAACAAATTATGTAATTTCCCTTCCCCCATATCTATGTGGAAGGAGAGCGAAAGGAGGATTGAAGAACATGTGCATTAATATGCATATTCCTAGCATTTTTGATAGGCTTCTATAAGGGAAAGTAATGAGGATGAGGGGAAGCTGGGAAGGCCAGGGTGACAGGAGCTTGACATGAAACAGGTTATTAAAGCAGCTGGGAATGTGGTGTACACTAACTTTATGAACGAAAAGCTGTTCTGTGCGTGAGAGAGAGAGGAAGCGTTTCTGATTTGTCTACAGAATAATTTCTAGGCAGCTGCAAAGTCTGCAATTCTGCAGGAAGTCTCGCCGTCTTAAGGATGTCTCACTGGACGTAAAACTTAGCAATAGTTGTGGCTTTCATGGTAGTGTGCATGACGTATTGTTTACATAGGATCTAATTTAACTTTGTGTCAGCCTAGATAGTAGCTAAAGTCATCTGAAATACTGTGATTGAAGAAACATAATTTAAGAAACTTCCCTGCCTTTTAATTACAGTCTTTTGAAAGGTTTTTAGTCTATTTTCTGCTTATAATTGTTGTCCATTATTGAACAATTCCCCTAGGTATGGAAGGGGCACATTTTTTTCTGTTTTCTTCTGTATTTATTTTCATGCTTTTTGTATGATAAGAACCTAAGCTAAAGGCTGTAACTTTGAAAGATCCTTAGTTTTGTAACATGCTTTCATGTGCAATACAGATAAGCCAGCAAACAACGAAAGATTGGAAATCTTTGTAAGCCTTCTTCGCCAATGGTTTTAACTAACTGTTTTAGCATATATCTCTCATCTACGTTAATGCTTTTTATATGTCCCAGACTACCATTGTCTTGAAACAGGAGTTGTTGAGAGATGCATGTGGGGAATATTTGGTAATGAAGGGACAGAGGAACAGCTCTGAATAAAAGAGATTAAGATGAATTTTAGACGAAGAAGGAGGAAAAGCGTAGACAATTGGTTATTTGTTTTTCAGGCAGGTGATACTTAGGATCTGCATAATTTGCCAAAAATAGATTATTTTTCCTTTTTAATGTATTTAAGTATGGAAGGATTTGTTTCATGTTAAGGAAGGTCTTGTTTCCATTCTTCACGAGTACAAAAACATTTCAGAATCTCAACTTCTTTTTTTTCAAGAATGAAATTCTTTTTTTTCATTGGTCTTAGTTGTAAACAATAATTTTATCACATGTACAGGCCTTAAAAACAGTGTTGTGAAATCGTATTAGTAAGACTTCTATTATTTTGTAGTTCTATGGAGTTTTACATTCCAGAATAGGCATTGAAATTGGAGTGTATTCATATCTGACCATTTTCCCTAGACTGCAGAACAGATTCAGCTGATGTTCACTAGAATATATTAGAAATTAAATGGAAAAAACCAACCAACCAACAAAAACCAAACCCAAAAACACAAGGAGAAAATATAGTTAATAGCTAATTGTTTTGTGAAATTGTGTGCAGTCTATACACAAATAACTCTTTGTTGTCAGATAAGAGTATTTGACAAGAGTATACCAAAACAGTGGTACTGAAAGTATCATCATGGTTTAGGTGAAGAAACATCCACCTTGGAGATTATGGTAAATACAGTTAATAAGGCATAGCTTGTAAAAGCGGGGAAAAAAACCCATAGTTAATACATAATTTAGCTACCTATGTTAAAATTGTAGTAATGCTTCTAGTGTTGGCAAACACAGAATGGGGCACACTAGCTCAAGCAGTTCTGTAGACTGGCTTCTTCTGATAAGAAGTCTGCGGTTTAGCATTATGACATGCTCAGAAAAAATGAATAGCAAGAGTAAGCTAAGATTATGCTTAAACTGATTTCTTTATCAAGACAATTTCATGTAGCGTGGATAAGGATTCAAATATGAAAATGTTTATTATCCAATATTGCATCTTAGAAAAAATTGGCAAGTGTTTTAACTTGAAAGCAGTGCACTTTTGCTTTATTGACCCGTTTTTTGCACCTTGTCATCTCAGCCAATAAACGGTAGAAATTAGTTACTGTTTTGCAGGGCAATAAAGGCTAAAGTTTTTATTCTGTATGGTGCTACTTTGTTGGATTACTGGTAAATTTTGGTATGGAGGACAAGGATTGAACCAACAGATGTCCAGTTTAGACCAGACTGAGAGAATGGTGCTGGTCCCCAGCTCCAGTATTGTGGCTTCTGATTCCTTATGCATTATTAGATTTTCCAGAAGTGCAATAAATCTGGAAAAAAGGCAGGGGAGAGGCCCGTGAGGGGAGCAGGGCAGAGCGCTAACTTCCTGCCTTTTTGTGCTTGTAAGAGTTAAAATGGGAAGGGAAATATA